TTTAAAATATTTTATTAACCGTAAATTAAAACAGTATTGACATACTAAGTTAAGCTATTTTGATCTAAGGCTGTCAAAATCAGCAGGGTTCAACACTCTCAGTAGGCCATACACATTCACATGCACAGTTACAGATATACAGTATATTCACACCATATGCTACGTACACACACACAATCCTACATACAAACATCGGCCCACACACATCCCAGCGGTGGGCTCAGCTCCTAATGCGCTAACAAGCTCCCTTTTTCCTCCCCTCACCTCCTCTCCTCCTCCAGTCTCCACCAGTCTCAAGTGATCGCAGGAGTCGAACACCGCCACAATGAACTGCGCTGCGGGAGAGAGAGGGAGAGAAAAGGGCTGAAATGGAGAGAGAGAGAGAGGGAGAAAGAGCTAGAGAAGGCACAAACACTTTACTCTCTCCTCTCTTTTCAGCCACGCACAAGAAAATGAGTTTCTGACTCGACACAAAAGAGCCTTTTTATCCACCTCCTCTATCCCTTTATCTTTCTCCTGTCTGCCTTTCTCTGCTCTGCTTTCTCCCTTTTCTCCCTCACCAGTCTTATTCCCTCTTTCTCCCTTATAATTTTCCCTCTTTCTTTCCTTTTTACTCCGAAAAGAGAGATATTTTTCTGCTAATGACTTAATAAGAGGAGCCATCTGAAATTCAATTACAGTAGATTTCATAGTGACTACTGCCATGTGGATGGAGGGAGGGATGGTTGGATGGAGGCAGAGATGTGTGTTTATTTTCTTTGACCTCTCACTGGTTTCTGCTTTTTAATAGTGATATTAATTTCATGCAGAGATGCCTCACAAAATGCAAATGCACAAAACAAGATTAAAATTAGGAAACCAAGTTTAGCAAAGTACAGGACCACAGTGGGACAATAACAATAAAGAAAACACTGCTGCTAAATGTCACCTAAATGGTAAATGGACTGCAGTTGTATAGCACCTTTCAAGTCTTTCGACCACTCAAAGCACCTTACACTACATTTCACACACGCACACACACATGTGGCAGAGGCTCCCATGCTCATCAGAAACAGAAACTAAGCACATTCATGCGCTGATGGCACAGCATCAGGAGTAAATTGGGGTTCAGGGTATTGCTCAAGGACACTTGGACATGGAGCTGGAGGAGCCGCTGACCCACTGAGCCACAGCCACCCACCCAGTCTTTCTGAGGTCAAGGTCAAGAATGAACTTTCAGCCTCAAATAAATAAAATATTTGGGAGCTGTAAAACAATAAAATAAAAGTCTGAAAGATGTGGAGGTGACATTACTTCAAAATAAAAGCCAGTACAGAAAGAAAGAAAGAAAGAAAGAAAGAAAGAAAAAAAGAAAGAAAGACAGACAGAAAGAAAGAAAGGAAAATGGCTTTTTGAAAATGCCAATTGTGCTAGCCAGTTACTATAGCATGCACTATATTTACCCTCCGCCATTTTATTTTAGTGTCTGAAGTGTAGAATTAATGTACTCTATGGCGCCCTGAAAGAGTCCCACAATGGAACAATAAAAGTAGTGTCCATGGTGTCTCTGCTAACAATTTCACAATGCAGTGTGTCACATTTCATAGATGCAAAAATTAGTGAACAACATCATGTTCATCATGATGTCTCAAATCTAAATTTACTAGTTACTACTACTTCTCCTGTTAGCTTTGTTGCACGTTTGAACGGGACAATTCACACTGGTGTCATATGCCTTTTTCACAGGAGACATTTTGACATGTCACAGTAGGAATAGCACAGGCGTTACTAATAACATCAACGACAGCTCTGTCCCAGTGCACAGTAGAAGAAATTCAGCCACCATTAATTTTCTTATTAGCACCTGTGCTTTTCCTATGGTAACATAACATATAATTGAAAAAGGGCCTATTGTTATTAGTATGGTGACATAATGTAATTCCCAACTGCAACCTGGCAAGAGTAGGCACATTTTCCAGATACAAAGGTGATATTACTGCTCATGTGATGGTTTTGCATCGGGAGTGCATCCATCTCTCTGCTGATGTTGCCTCTTCCCCAGTGGGGAGCCAGTGTTTGTGACACAGTGACATAAGGCCGAAGGCAGAACGCCACGCTGAGAGTAAGAAAGAGAGAGGGAGGGAGATATAAAGGAGGCAGACGGAAAAAGAGTGAAGAAAAAGAAGTAAAAGTGATGTTGCTGTCATTTATCTCAGCAGTGGTACCCATGTCTGTGTATTTATTTCTCTTTCTTTTCCTCGTTCTTTCTTTCAGTTTCCCCCTGCCTGTGTCAACTTCTTTTCTTTTCTTCAGGTGTCCTTTAAATCTTTTGACCTTCTCAGAAATCACGGAACAGCTGCCTTTTTTTTTTTTTGTCATTTAAAATCCCTGCGGATTCTGTGTACTCCTCTGCGGCTTCGTACAAGCACACAAAAAATGAACATGACATAAAGATAATGATGTGTTGTTTGCAGGGATATAGTTTGTGTTCCTAATTGCATTCCATCCACACATCTCTCCCCCTTACACACACACACACACACACACACGTACACTTTCATTCACCAGAGGGGGAAGTGCGATGCAGGGGAGCGGGATGCAGGAAAAGGCAAACGGCGAGATCACATGGAGACTCGTTAGCTTGATGCTCCGCATGTGACTGCTGCTCATGTCTCAGCTCTCTCCAGGAGACAGACACGCACTCACACACCGCATCTTGTTGGTGTTACTTAAATATCCTCCTTCCCGTCTCACCTGCTGTCCTCCCCTCTCACCTCCTCTGTGACTCACTGCAGGATTCTCACCCGTCTTCCTCTTCTTCACCCTCGCTATTTCCTCCTCGTCTTTTTACAAGTTCTCCTCCTCCCTCAGCGCCTCGCTTTCTTTGCACCTCTAACCTCCATCCTTCCCTCCCTCCCACCGCTGTTCCCTGTCTGACTACACCCACCCCCCCCTTCATTTCCATGCCTTTGTCAGTAAGTTAAGGGAGGGTTTGAAAAGTCTTTTTTAAACAATAACTGCTATTTTTAGATCTTCTAAGTCCTTGAAGTTCCTGTGAAATCAAGTATGGTTAATTTCAGTAAAATGTTGAAACTGCGTCATCTGTCCAAAAGTTTATTTAAGTTTCTTTGTCTCTGCTTTGCCAGCTTATTCCACTCATCCCCCCTCCATCTCTACCCTCCTCCTTCCTCTTTAATTCTGCCAGTGCAGTCTGTCCCTCCACTTTAAAGGAGCCATATTGTTGTTATTATCATTGTCTCTAACTGGATCAGTTACCATTAGACCTGAATCTTTCTCCTTCTGAGGCCCATAGACCAGCTCTCTAACCCAATAGAAAACCCATGGGCGCTATTACAGATGGCTGACCCATTCACAACGCAGCCACACACACACACACACACACACACACACACACACACTCTCTGAGGTACAAACACACAGATTTCATTCTGAAGATTCATTGGCCTAATCCCATCACACACTCAAACAGCGACACGTGCACTTACATACACACATTGTGCCTGTTCACAACCAATCTTATCAAATACAGACACACACACATACACACTCTGCTCTCATTGAAAAACCTCGGTTATTGGAGCTCACTGAGCAAATGGTAATACTATTGGGAGATGATGGGACTGAGTTGTGTGTGTGTGTGTGTGTGTGTGTGTGTGTGTGTGTGTGTGTGTGTCCTAGAGACTGTAAAGGCTGCATATGGCTGTCATTATGGTTGGATGTATGAGTAGGACTAAGGAAGAGAGGGTAAATGTCATTCTATCAATGAGGTTATCTCTAATAGATGGACAGTTGAAGTCCTGGTTTCCATTTACTCCGCTCTCTGCTGAATCCCTGCGCCTCTCTCTTTGAATCTATTGCTGAAGGCTGTAATAGTAAGTGATAAAAGGCCTTTGGTTTCCTTTTCTTTCTTTCTTTCTTTCTTTCTTTCTTTTTTTTTGGCTGCAGAGCATTGTCAATAGATTCAGATGAAACACTGGGTGTATGGAGTTAACTGGCCTGTGTTACAAACTGTTTTTATCTAAGTAATGCTGTTCAGTTTCCTTACGGTTTGTTATTTTATTTTCTGTTACTGTTTTTTGTCCTCTGTCTTCTATTTTCAAATATTTATTTATTATGAATTTATTAGCGGGGTTCTGAATTTTACAGACTTAAACTGTCTTGAATATGAATTTGACAGGTCTTAGAAATTGATTTGGATTAATGAAGGTAATGTTTTTTGCTTTTTTCTGTCTCGTTTTTTAAAAAAAAAAAAATTGTATTGATCATGCTACACAAACTACAAAACAAAACCAACATGGAATCAATACCGATTTTCCTTCATATCCTAAGTGCTTTTTTTGCCAATATGGACATGAAATAGGTCTTAGATTGTGTTCATAATGGTCCTAAAAAGTCTTAAATTTAATCTGCTGAAACCTGCAGAGACCCTAGTATTTAGAGAGTAAGCGATGCTGCAATTGCAGACTGTTTGGTAGATTAACAAAAGCAGAAGGAGCAACTTTAAAGTATGAATAACACCTATGTCACAACTGAGTGAGCTTCTTTGTAAAAACACCACAACTTTAAAACAGTGCACAGTCATTTAGTCTCCATGAAGTTGATTGATTTAACAAAAATGGCACAAATCTGACTTTTAGTCCCTACTATGGATCCTACATTTCCCATAATACAACTGGATAGTCTTTTAGTAGACCCTCCCTGTCTGGTAAACACAGACGTCTCCACACCTCCAGTTTGTAACACAGTCTTGCTGTTATTAATTGGTTGTCTCCAAGCCTACACCGAGATAACCCTGATGACATCACTATGACATCATCAGATGCCCTTTTACTTTCTCATATTAACCTTGTTGATATGTTTCTGGTTGTATTTTTGGCCGTGTCTTTTTATATGGTGGGTAAATGTTTAATTTCTTCCACCACATTCTTTTTACTCCTCTCGTTCGGTTGGTATTTGTGTCTTCTTTTTTTTTGTCGTTTGACCTTGACCTTTGACCTCAGCTACGAGGAGCGAGCCCGATACCTAGAAACCATTGTACAGCACCACCAAGAACCGACCACATTTGAGGATTACGCAGCTCGAGTCTACAGTCCTGCACCCTGCACACACCTCCCCTCTGACACAGGTAAGACACAACCTTTGGCTCTGTGTGATATCCAGTAACCAAACCAGTATCTTACCGCACCAACAGCTACACCTGTCAGTCAAAATCTCGATGGCAGCCTTTGAGGGGACTGGTGACAAACTTGCAAACTGCTCGTTAACCAGTTAAATCTGGACGCACATTTTCCTGCTATTACTAGTCCCTTACAGCAAATCTGTCTTCAGAAGACGAAGTAATATTACAACATATATTATGGAGAAATGAAATGTGAAAATATTTTGAACTAGAGTGCTGCCACACATTCAAACACACACTGGCAGCTCATAGTCTGATTCACAGTCTTGTTTCCGACGAGTCCTGTTTTCTGTCCAAAGCTGTGCTCAGCCTTCTTCTGTCTCCAGAGCGTCTCTGAGGAATTAGCTGACATCTGATCAGCCGTAGAGATGCCAGGCATGCACATGGGCGTCATATTCTAATGTATGACTCTCATATGTATCCTGTTAAGACGGATACTAATCATTTATGCCTGTAATGTGTCCCATTAGGTGTAATATAAAGTAGTGTAACTGTCCTTTGACTCACACATAACCAAATTATTTAACATAGTAGTTATTTACAATAATTTGATTCTGCAGCTCAGCCACACAACTTCTTTATAAAAAGGTATTATATATGAATCATAAAGGAACACTGTGTGATGTAGGCCTACATTAGTCACACATCACTACTGTAACAGTTTGAAGATATACAGTAAAGATATTTTACATTGTTAACTGGTCAAGCAGAGGTATGACTGTGAGTGTTTGTCTAAATATGTGTATAATTATTGTTTTTCTCAGCCAACTGCTCCTCATCTCTCCAGCTATTGTGTCAACAATATTAATAATTATACAATAACAATAAATCTGCTTTGAGGCTGAATAACATAAAACACAATCTGAGATGCGATCATTTCACCTTAATGTTTGTTCAGGATGTTGTATAATGTCTGAAGTAGTATATTGCTCTTTATTGGGTCGTCAGTGTGTGTTGTTCAGCCCCAAATGTCATTTCAGAACACAGGATCAAAAAGCTGTTTAGATAATATAATAAGATATTAGGGCTTCTCATGGCCGCTCTCTTCAGCACTTGCACTCCTCAGTTTGCCTCATATATTAGTCCTAATTCGTGTTTAAATCCTAATTTCAGATTTCAGATTGTGTATTTCACTAAATCTGGACATATAATCCTGTGCTCTGAAATAAACCTTGCTCAAATTAATACAGCCCCCCCCCTCTCTCTTTCTCTCTGTCTCTCTCTCTCTCTATCTCTCTCTGTCTGTCTGTCTGTCTCTCTCTCTCTCTCACTCTCTCTTTGTCTCTGTCTGTCTCTCTCTCTCTATCTCTCTCTGTCTGTCTGTCTGTCTGTCTCTCTCTCTCTCACTCTCTCTTTGTCTCTGTCTGTGTCTCTCTCTCTCTCTCTCTCTCTCTCTCTCTCTCTCCCTCTCCCCCCCCCCCATATTAACTTACAAGTTCCCCTCCCTTAACAGCACAATGATCAAACATTCTTCTCTCTTTCTGTTTTTTTTTTTTTTTTTACCTATTTTGTTCATTTACTCTTTTTTTATTATTATTTTTTTTTATTTGCTTTACCCTGTTTTATTTATTTTTTTATTTTGTTTTGTGGGTTTTTTTCTTTTTATTTCTTCTTTTTCTTTTTGTCCCCCCCCACCCCCCATTCCTTTAGATCGTAATGTCTCACTTGCCTATAGCTAAAAGGTAAGCCTGGTCACATGATTGACATGCCCCGTTCTGACTGGCTCTTCCTGTTGACATTTCAGCCTAACCTTTGCTCTCCTCCAATTCCTACACCATATTGTGCTTTCTCAGTTTTTCTGTCTGTTTTCTCCTCTGTGTTTTTACAGTTTAAGCAGGTCTGCATGTGTTCTCTACTATTTAAAAGGAAGTGTCATTTTCAGCTCCTCTGTGTGTGTAGTTCGGTATGACTAATTATGTTTGCTAGTTAACACAGTGTGTAGTAACAGCGCTTAAGATAATTGATCCTAGCTCTTGTTCTTATTTGTTATTAGACTATGATAACTGATCCATGAGTAGTGGACCTGTTGAATGGATCTAACTCTGCTCTTTTTAATGCTTTAATTATGTTAATCCTTCATTACCTGATGGCCACTTGGGGGCAGCAGAAAATCTGATATATTATCACCTTATACGGGTGTTATGGTGACAAACCGTAGCCTGTTTAAACATCTAGCAGAGCAACTTTAGCATTCATTTATTTATATTGAATATTTTATATTTACTGTGCTTTTAGCTCTGTATTGGTCTCCTCCAGCTTCTGAGGTAATATCTGCTAAATGCTCCACTTTGTTCACCTGGAAAGTTTTACAAAAACAGCTGCCTGCCTTCATCTGGAAATAAAGCTGATGAGAGCAGTGAGATCCGAGATACAATCCGTTGTCGATGACGTGAGATCTATTGCAAGCCTACAGGAACTGCACTGGGCTTTAAAGCCAATTTGACATAGTGGTAACGACAACATCACATGCCCCACGGACCCCAAAATACTTTTTCCCATGAACTTTGTGAAATAAAGGTCTGTAAAACAGTTAATGTGTGAGCGCCACAACCCCCTGACAATTAAATTATCTTATCCCCATTCAAGTTAATACGAAGTTAGCCGGCAGAAGTTTGTGCATACTTTATGGGCAACTGAGCAACTTTTCATAGGGACTTTCTGTGATCTGTTGTTAATATAAAAAACGTTGATTAGTGCAGCTTTAAGCTCAGTACCCACAACCACCCACAGCTAAAGGGTGTATACAATAACTAAAAACATATGAACTCTATTACATATTTAAGAAAACCTTAAAGAATGAAAGCATCAACAAACATTAAGTAATCCTTAATCCTATTTATTCAGTATAAAAAAACAACAGCACATTACAGCTTTGAGAGTTGTAAGGCTAACTGATTCACAAATTATTTTTTTTAGCATAGTTTTTAGTCATTTACACCCTCCTCCTCGTGCACGTTGACAGGCTTTTATGCTTGTCTGACTGACTCAGGAGGAATAGTAGTAGTAGTAAATAGTGATTTTAATAAGGTAATCCAGCTGAAGATTGCCTTATTAAAACAGCTGTTTAACATCGTACGTGACTTTCATTCCTTAAGCACACTTGAGCTGCTTCATACCAAACTACACTGAAAGTGAGACATCCTTTTTATAACAATGTGAGATTTCGGCTCTTTTGTGTGTTCACTCACTCAGTAATTTTCCTGTTTGTTCTGTTAACCTGCGATGTCACGCTGACCTGGTGAAACTTTACCTCTTACCTTTTGTATGCTCCTCTCTTCCTGGTTTTGATATGATGTAGTGCTGTAGCGCTGTGCACACACACACACACACACACACACACACACACACACACACACACACACACACACTCTGACACTGACACTAAAATGGGTAAGCATATGTAACATAGACCCACACACTGTCTGAATGTATAACTTTAAACTAACAAGTTCTCTTTCTTCTTCACTACAGTTGTTTGTATTGATATATTTAAGTATCTAGTATATAAGTATGTTAGTGGTGGGGACAAGCAAAATGAAGCATAATGACGATGCATTTCAGATGTTTTCACCGTGTATGCGTACATGTTGTGTGCAGTGTTTGTTTGTTTGTGTGTTATTTCTTTCCATTCTGTCTGTTGAATGTATTGAACTGTTTTTCTCTTTACATGTGTGGCAACTTCTTATTCTTTGTTTTTATTCATTATTTCTATTTTCTTTCTTTTCTCTGACCAACCCTCCTGCACTCTCCTGAACTGCTCCTTCGTGGTCTTTCCTCTTTTATACCCTTGTCTTCCTTTCTTTTTTCCTTCCATCTTCTCACCTCTTTCCGCTCTCCTTGCCTTTCCTCTCCTCTCCCTTTGTTTCCTCTCCTCTCCTCTCTTCTCCTTTTATTTTGTTACCTTTTCTCCTCTCCTCTCCTCTCCTCTCCTCTCCTCTCCTCTGCTCTTTAGAGGAGCATAGTGTTATGTGTCTAATGGTCCCTAAACCACTAGACAGCTTTAACCTGCTCAGGGTGAAAGGGAAGGGCCTGAAGCAGAAGGTCCTTCATGCTAGCTGTGAATGGTATGCGTTAGATAGAAACTAAGTTTTGGTTCTCCTCTGATGTCATAAATCTAGTCTAGTTTGTAGCCTAGTTTCCCAACAGCAAAGGTAGAAAGTATTTAGAATCTTGCATTAACTTCTCAAGTAGCTCTGGACTAATTTGTAGATCAAATAAACTGTAAAGTCCTGTTATCCTTAATGGTACACCACATAATATTTCATAATGTGACGCCACAGTGCTAAATACCAACATATTTTTATTCAGTACTGTTTGTACAGTTAATAAGTTAGTATTTGTCTGATAGTACAGTAAGGGCCATCCCCTCTACAGTATGTTACAACTCAAATCTGAATAGAGCTTCTCATCCACTCACTGCTGAACAGCGACCAGTCAGATCTGAGCCCCAGAAGAGAGCCAGCTGATGGTAAAAGTTCGGTTTAGAGCAGCTTGTGTAGCTTCAGCACTTTGCTTTTGTGTTATCACTAAATTCAAATAGTTAAGCATGTGTTGCCTCGACTGCAAATAGCAAAAGACAGGTGTTAGACGTATCTATATAAAGATTAATTATATAACTTTTCACAGTCTCACAGGGCATAAGACTTAAAGCCCAACACGTGGGCTGCTTTTTCAACCGGTTTGGTTGTGTAGAGTTTCTCCAGCATGTGAGCATATGGAGTACAAGGGTCAGTTAAAGTGTGTGTTCATATCCGCTTTCTAGAGCCTGAGCTGGTCTATTGGTTTTAGGGAGCTAGGATGAACCCACTATAGAATAAAAAGGAGTTTGTATGTTACCTCTCTTTCTTCAGCTGTCTGTCTTTGTCCTGCGTGTCTGTGTGTGTCTGTGTGTGTGTGTGTGTGTGTGTGTGTGTGTGTGTGTGTGTGTGTGTGTTTCTGTCTGTCGTTCTGTCTGTCCTGCCTGTGTGACTGTAGGATTTAGTGCAGTCTAGCTTAGTAGAACATCATGGGGTGTGATGTAATTTTCCTTCATCCTTTTTCTGCTCTTATTTACCTCCTCTCCTTTATTCCCCCCCCCATCCATTCACCCTCCTCACTCCCAAACCACCACCACCGTCCCTTCACCTCGCCCCGTCCTCCCCTTCACTCTTTCCCCTTTCCGTCCTCAGGCTCCTGCCTAGAGATTCTTCGGGGAGAAAGTCCGGCTCTTGGGGAGGCAGGGAGCGACTCGGCATCCCCCATGTCTCCTCGGACTAGCAAGAGCCGCATGTCCATGAAGCTGCGACGCTCCTCTGGATCGGCCAATAAGACTTAAGCTCTCTACACTACATGGCCTAGTCCGAACTGACACTTCATGTCCTCAAAAAGGTGTTTCTCCACAGAAAATCTGATCTATAATTGTACTTAAAAGTACAAGAAATTAAACGTAATGCATTTTCAAATGAACTTTTGGAGGATAATCTACACAGATTTAAATTTTACATTAGATTTCCAACAGTGAAAATAATGAGAGGTGTTCCCAGTCTCGTCCCATCTCCTCCAGCATGCTGCCGTTCTGATTGGACACTGGCCTTTTATGTACAGAACGCTTTGTCGCACAGTTGTACACGTAATAGTATTCCGTTGACTATATTATACTGTAACACTGCTCACAGCTGCTAAATTTATCCTTGGCTTTGCTGTAAAAAAAAAAAAACAACAAACAGGTGAACCAGTGCTGCAGCATGCTGACCGTTGCCATAGTAGAAACAGCTTCAGCAGTGCAGCATTAGTTCCTCACAATCTGTGCCATGTTAAAAATTGCGCACAAACTCCAGTGTGTAACCGGGACTGCAAAAAGCTTAAGTGTGCCACATTATAACTCTAGAAAGTACAGAACAAAGCTGCAGAACAAAGAGAAACAAAAGCTCTTGAGCCTCTTGGTGTTGTTTAACGTCTCTATTGGGGAGTCTGTATATTTGTACTATAGTCGGTCCATGTGTGTACAGACAGAAACACGAGTTTTGATATAAAAAGAATGAATTCAGAGTGATTAAACCTTTAGTGTTGCCTGAAGAAAGCAAGATAAAAGTCTATTTTTGTTCTCTGTGCAGCATCAACCTATAAGGATAAGGGCAGGGGTCGCTTATTCTTCAGTCCTCATAATTGTAAATAGGAACTCATCTATTTGCTAACAATTAATAAAAACCTGTTATTGTGGATGTGGCAACGTTCTCAAGCCAAAAATGTTCTAAATCCCCTTCTTGGGACTGAAAGCTGCCCCTTTGAGTGAAGCCATGTGAGAAACAGTGTTAAAGGATGGAGGGATTATTTGTCTTTCATAGAGGAGAGAAAAGCGCTTTCTAGGACATTAACAAGACATTACTGATCAAAGAGGAAGCACTTGTTATATAATGTTTAGGTTTTTTTTGCTCATGCTGTAAAATGTGGACAAGCACTGATGTTCGTTACATTTATTCTTCTTTTTTGTTCATTTTTTAAAAAACATTGACTGTAAAATATGTTTTGACCCGAACAAGAATGTTGCTGTATTTTTAAGTTCAGTGTCACTCCGTCATTTGATCCAATCGAACCACAGCTTTTCTTTCTTTGTTCCCATATATATATATTCTGTATATCTATATATGTATGAGTATAAATATATATATATATATATATATATATATATATATATTCTGTATATCTATATATGTATGAGTATAAATATATATATATATATAGTAGATATATGAATATCTATAAGAATGTGTACAGTGTGCAGAGGCTTGTTGTGTATATACTGTTATGTGAGAATAGCTGCCAAAGCCAAACTGTGGTTTAACCTCAGACTCCACTTAAAATGGGTTGACACTACAAGGTTTTTCCTTTTCATAACCAGTTTGCACTTCATTCTCTCTGAGTTTAAAGGTTATTTCATTGTAGCTCAAATACTGTTTCTAAATGTAACCTTGGTACCACAGCCAGATTGGGGAAATTTTGTGGAAAGTAAGGAGAAAAAACAGAAGTTTTTGGCCATCATTCACAACCTTATTGAGGGCGGGAGGAGGAAAAAAGAGATACTATAGAGCCGAGGCCAAAGAGGGGGAGAAAGGAAAGAGATGTCAACTTACCACTTAAATTATCAATGTTTTTTTGCTTCTTTTCTTTCCACTCTACTCTTATCTTTAGACTAATCCCCCTGTTCCAGTTCTAGATGGAGGGATACGTCTGTAATCCCAAAATGTAACACTACCATAGACGATTTTCATGTATTGATCGCCTCATTTCAGCACTCCATCAGATCAGCTCAACTCAGATACAGATGACAAGGTTTCAAATCAGCTTACATAGCTGAAGTACTGTGGTTTTCCAGGGTTTATCACGATTGAAAGTTCTTCCATTTATTTTACATGATGGCTTGTTTTCTGCATGTTTCCATTATTTTTCCATGGTTCCTGGCAAAGGAAACATACATATATAAAAGATCTGTATTTGAAAAGTGATCTGAGTTCAAAGGTTTTGCATTATGCTTCACTGCTTGAAGTGTATTCACAGCTGTATTGTCTGTTACGGTATCATTTTTTTATGTTTTATTTCAGCCGTAGATTCTCCGTAGAGAGGATTATAAAACTTTTTATTTTCATTTTGAACCCCTCAGTGGGGGTTGAAATGGTTAGCTTTTAGAAATCTGCCATTGTCAAATTCATGTCCTGTTACTTTGTGTGTTAATATTTGTAGTCAGCTGAGATTTAAATTGTCCCTTTAAATTATTGCTGTTACAATTATTATAATTATTGCTGAGGTTAAAGAACCATTGATTGGTCGAGGCACGTGGTCTAGTAGCCCCACTGCACTCTGGGATTGATCCTGTACATGCTGTATATAGACTACAGCTCACCTGCCAGTCACAGACTGTGTCTCAATGTGCTCGGCTACGTCCTTTAAACACTTCGACAACCTGAACCTGTTCAGGCTACATCACAGCATGGCCCTCTTTACACTCCTTTATACTCTTTGGATTAAAATACCAGTGAATCCTCATGCTGCTGCTTTTATGTACCGTGGAAAAGATGGGAGGTTTCATACTTACAAATGTGTTTCACTGATTACAAATACTAATTTCATTGTTTGGCAATGAGCTCAAAGTGATCTGCTCATTAAACTGAAGATATATGACTCCATAAATGTTTGTTTAGTTTAAGAAGCCTGATAAGCAGCAACCAAAATGTCTAGAAAACCTAAGTTACACAAAGCCTTTCAGTATTTAAAAAATCATATCAACCACCCTGAGGACTGTCTGTCTGGAAGAGTTTCACTCAAATTGTTTTAGAAATATTTTTCAGACTCCGCTTTCTTCTGCACTCATATCAACCACACAATTGACCATTCATAAATAAAAAAACGTGGAACTTCTGTGCCTGTGTCAATGGATGCTCTGAATGTGCGGGCTGTGATGGATACAGGTTCAGCTGTTGTCCAGATGTGGGACAAAGCTGACTTATGTAACTACTGACTGTACATACTGCATGACACCAGTTCAGTAATAACTGCATGTGTTGATCATGTAACAGTTGTATCACAACATACACATACACACACACTCCTACACACTCCTCAAACTATGTTACTGTAAAACCTGTAGTATGTAAATGTGTAGTGTCTCTTTTGGACACACAGAGAGCGCAGATGTGCGATGATGGAATTTGACAATAAATGATTCGTACCACTGACTGCTGTACCAATTTGTGTGTGTGTGTACGTGTGTACCAGCTTTTCGAACCACATTAATAATAAGTTGACAGGGCTGGACTCCTCGTTAATTATGCTGTATTAACATTTATTGACAATAGAATAAATTTCACATTCAACTTCAAACATATCAAAATAGTACTGTATAGGCTTCATAGAACCACAATTACATTTTAGCATCATGAAGGCATTTAACAAATCTTTCAACAGTAATTTATAATCAGTAAAGACAAAAGACATATTTTTACTAGCAGTACTAACATTAAATGTTCCGTTTCTGTATGAAAATATTTTATAGCTGAGAAGTTAACTGGCACATTTACTATAAAAGGCATATTATGGTCTATCTGATTATTTTCTCTTGTTTTATTTTTTTTTATTGTTCACTGTACATGAAATAGTCTTTGAAATAGAGTCAGGACATTGATTCTGTCTTCAGTTCATGGGGGAAGGAAGGTCACTTTCTAAATGCAATTACAGGTCACTACATATTATACCAGTACGTAATGTCACACACTTAACTCCTCCTGAGCGCCAGTATAATCTGATCACCTTGCCACAGAAATATGTTGACCATGACTTTAAATATATGCCACATGTAGAGACAACTGTGTCGTTCATTGCTTCAGTATAGATAAAATGAATCCTTACTCTCATTTATCCTTTTAAAATTCCCTCATTGTCCAACTTCAGTCTGTCCAACTCTCAACTGTTCACTGACTAAAAAAGATGAGTTGCTGTGTCTTAATGTCAAATCATATACAGTTTAATATGAGAAGCTGAAGAGAGACGACATCCTCCTGTATTGTCTGCATGAGAACATAAATACAGAAACAGTGTCTGACTTCAGGTTGTGTTACTGCCTGTTTCCATTGTAACAACAAATGAAATATTGAGAGATAAGAAATTCCCCTTTAAATAATCTCTCTAATTTGCCTACAGTTTAAAATGTTAGTTCATATATTTTTACAACTCAAAAGAGCGAGATGGTTTGACTCACGTTGGTGTGATAAAGGCTGAGGGGAATAGACTTGTGTTTGCGGACATGGGTTCAGCACCATGGACAGCTCCCGTTGCACTGGCGGCCTTGTATCTAATTATCCGGTTTCAGCTCCACAGCAAAGTGGGCCGACGTTTGCACCGATATAGTGGACCTTAGTGGACCTTAGTGGACCAACCTAGAAGTCTTACTGACCTACAAACAAAAGCCACACTGACTCCACCGTTACCCCCGTCCTGTAACAACACAGTGATCTCAGTCCGAGTCTGAATAATGAGTTAACAGAGTCCCCGCTGTGGGAACCAGCTGTTGCTTTATTTGACTGTATTTCTGTCTCGCGCGCGTTTTACGGTCGCACGGTCATCTGCAGCAGCATCACCTGCCGGTTCTCGGTTGGATGAGACTTGTTAATGTGTCTCGCGAGCCCCGGGGAGCTGAAGAATGTGGACGGACAGTGCTTGCACGTGAAGATCTGTTGCTGCTCGCACTCCCTCGTGCCGCTCTCGTCTCCTTGCGTGTGAAACACTTCCGGTCTGAGTCCTCCTCCTCCCAGAGCTCCCGCCAGTAACTCGTCCCTCATCGCGTGCCACAGGCGGTGCTTGTCCCTGATTTCAACCGACGGGAAGCGCGCGCCGCACAGGTGACACAGGAACACCTGGCTCTGTCCGCCACTGGTCTCGCGCGCCTGGCTATAAGGTGATGGGGGCGGAGACGCTCGCGCTGTCATCTCGTGCGCAGCCAGGTGTTTCTTCAGGTAGGCCTGTCGGCGGAATTTCTTCCCGCAGTACCGGCACTCGTACACTTCCTCCTCCGGTAACGACTGGACAAACGGTAACGGAGCACGTGGGAGTGACGACGGCGGCTGCTGCTGCTGGGAAAGGTCCGCGCGCTCGTCTGGGTTGCCGTTTAGTAGAAGGAGGCTCGAGGGTGGGCTGTCTGCCGCTCTCACCTGCGGCTGCAGGTCGAGGCAGCTGTCGACCGGGTTCCGGTAATGGAGCGAGGAGTCATAGTGAGGAGGCGCGAGGCTGTCGCTGTCGGGGCTGTCACGAGACCGACTGTGGAGGAGCAGCAAGGACGGCTCGCGCCTGATGCGGGCACTGTCCAGCGCCGCGTGGTGCTGGTTGGTGTTAATGCGCAGCAGCTCGTTCTCTTTGCCCTCCATCTCTAACGGCTGCCTCTCGTGCTGCATGAGCCCTCGCGCCTCTTTTAACGGCTGGCTCTTGGTGGTCGGGGTCTCTCCTCCTTGGTTGTTTACCGGACGAGGTTTGTGCCAACGGCGGTGGGAGGCCAAGTTGGCGGGACAGCTGAAGACTTTGTCGCACTCGGGACACCGGTACTCCACGCGCACTATGCGGGAGCACTTGTGCTGCGCGAGGGAGAAAGGGTCGGGGTACTCCTCTTTACACAGCTGACAAATGAACTCTCCCAGCGGCTGATTCCCGGTGGAGGCAGACTTCTCCCGCTGCCTCCTCAGCTCGGGACTTTCCTTCTTGATCCGCAGACCCAACACCGGCGAGGTCGTGACCTCATCCTCGAAGTTTAGTTTCCGGTTGACTTTGGGTTTCTTGGGGGGGGTCCCCGCGGACTGTTTGTTGTGTCTGCTGCTGTTCAAGCGGGGGTCCGGTTCAAGGAACGAGCGTTTTCTCGCTGCGTGATGCTGCTCCGGGTTCATCAGGGTCAGCGGCGGGAACAAGTGCACGTGACTCATATTCGGGTCATATTTGTCATTGTTACCGTAGGATGGCGCGTGGCGGCTGCTGCTCGCGAGGAGCCTCTCTATGGAAGCGGAGACGGAGGTCGGCGTGGTGGAGGTCACCAGGAACGGCAGCTCCGGTAACTCCGCCGGTATCTCCGATACTGGGGATGATGTCAGACACCTGCCCGGGAACAACGTCTGCTTCTCTCCTCCCTCGTGCTGCTCCAGCAGTCTCGTGCCGACCGGTTTAACGGGGCTGCCAGACTCTGTTAACGTCAAGTCCCGTGGAGGTGGAGGTGGGAAGAAGTGGGAGAAATCACCATCGGGAGTTAAAACATCCACCTCGCTCACCTGCTCCTCGGTCTCCGGTAACTGCGCGCGCCGGTCCGCCTCCGCCTCCAGCGCGGACTCCACGTGCGGGCTCCACACCTCTCTCACACCGGCAGAGTCCTCGCGGGACACCGGGAGCTGTCCGTCTGTCCGTTCAAACGGGGAAACATTCAACAGACCGATCTCCTTCACTGCCTCCGGTTTGGTCAGTTCAGATGTTTCAGGTTTGTTGTTACTCTTGTTTCGTGAGCGATATGACACCGAACATCTCCGGTTCCTCTTCACCAGGAATCCTCGAGGCATGGTGAGGATGACGATGATGCTCGGCGCGTGGCACCACCAGGCGGAAAGAACAACAACTCTTGTCTCGAGCCCACTTTCAAGTAGAGCTTTGAAGTGGTGAAGAGAGAGAGAGAGGGGGAGAGAGGGGGGAGAGAGGGAGAGGGGGGGGGAGAGAGGGGAAGAGAGAGAGAGGGGAGAGGGAGAGAGAGGGGGGGAGAGAGGGGAAGAGAGAGAGGGGAGAGAGAGAGGGAGGGGAGAGAGAGAGACAGAGAGGGGCGCGCGCAGGTGTGATAGGAGCACGAGAGAGAGACAACGGTATCTGTGAAGCGCGTGTTTGTTTTCATCCAGCTCTCACAGTCAGTTGGGCTCTTAGTGGTTATGTACATTTTGAAATGATTTATAAGTGTTAAACCCGGGCCTACCTACATGTTTGGTACGGAGCAAGAACTAAAGACTGAAAGCGTTATTTCACTGTGATGAACAGCTGAAGGAGATTCGGTTCAGTTTAACACAAAAAATGTTTTCTATTTTTCTATTTTCTTTTAAAAGGAACTACTACTACGAACTATTGCAACTACCGGATGAAATGTGGACTCACTTTTAAATGTTGAGTGTGGAAATCCAATGAGAGTTTTCTTGTCAACATTTGAGCATCAACTCACATGCATGAACATGAATGTATGTTTATCAGATGTTTTAAAGAAACTTTTTGGGTTGAATACCCTAAAATAAACAGTTGGTGCCTCATGGGAAACATTATATATATTATACACTATATCAACTCTATTTTAAGTATACCTTTATGTGACCTTGGTCATTCTATGGCATTGCTTTTTCTGTTGTTGCTGTGTGATTTTACTTCTGTCATAATGTGGTAAACAGGAAATGTTACATGAAACCATTAAAGTATCATTATTATTGTTCACAATGATTCTACTCATTGAATTGCTCTACTCAGTAGAATTAGTCTTCTTTTTTAGAAAGGCAATTTAGCCGCCATTTTGGTTGCTGGGGTAGAAAATAACATATTGCTGTTGTTCCCATGTTGATGAGGCTCTGCACTCTTACTCCTATGTCTAGAAGCTGATGTGCCTCCACCTGCCACATGCAACCATGCAATGTGTAGCCTATATATTTCCAAGAAGAGAACCTGATCAGATGTGTGTGTGTTGGAGTCAGTGTAAGTATATTCCCGGTGGGATTCAGATACAGATCATATCTTGTTAAGAGCACTAATGGACCTTTTCTGTCCTGCTGAAGTGCCTGATTATCTGAGTCTTTGTTTTTGGTGGGAATACCTCGAGCATAGCTTTCCCTCTGCGTGTGTGTGTGTGTGTGCGTTTCCATCTGTGTGTGCTCGTGCATGTATGCGTGGCGTTATCTCCCCAGCAGAATAGAAAGAATGGCAGCGCAGTGAAAGAGTGAGGGACAGCGTGAGAGAAAGCGTGTGTGTGTGTGTGTGTGTAGGGACTATTCACACCCGTCCTCCCACTAGAAGCTGCTCTGGCTGATAAGAGATCGGAGGGAGATCCATCCATCCATCCATCCATCCTCTCCCCCCGGGCTAGGCCGGCCCCTCCGTGCGGGCCAGGCGGTCTATAGCTCGGCCAGTCGGCTCAGGCCAGCCGGCGTCGCTCCCTGGAAATCAATCAAGGCGGATGAGCGTGAGAACGAGCTTGAGGGTCGGGCTGCTGGCTTGACGAGGGCCGCCTGGGGAATAGAAATGAAAATAGAAATGAGATGGGTGGCGGAGAGTCCAGCACTAAAAACTAATTAAGCACCAAGCGTCGTGGATCTTCAGTTCGGCTGTTTTTCCACTGTAATTGTCAGCTGTTAATGTCTCCCACAGAGAGGAAACCTTGACCCAGGTTCAGCCTTTATTGACCTGACTAACTGAAACATAAACAGGAGTGACTGAGGCCTATGCTTTAGCAGCCTCATTTGGTTTCTGTTCAATCATTTGAAGGTATGGAAGCCTATTTCTGTCACAAAAAGGGGGGGAAAGATAAAATGTTGGTATGATAATGATGTTGTTAAAATAAAAATACTCATGAGGAGTCAAAATAATTAGAAACTAATTTAAACGTAGAATCTTTTTCTCTTATGTCATCATTTTTACTTGCTCTCTCATAATTTTGATCTAAAAAAAATCAAAGTTGGGATTTATTTAGTTTCTCATAATTTTGACATTCTATGACTTCTACCTGGCAGATGTGTGCTTCCATATTATGATGATATCATCATAACATATTAATTAAGGCAAACTTCCTCTCTTATACACAATGGAACAGAAAATATTAAATTGCAGTAACCTAGCTACAGTATTTTCTATTTACAATAGTAAATAGACTACTGTGTACATGTACTAATGAAAATCTAGTTTTTGCACCAAGTAAATGGTGCATGCTTTTAAATGAACAGTACATCAACTCTCTTTGCATGCCCCTATCCCAGCATGACATCTTCAATATAACGATTGCTTAAAAGTAACAATTGATGATAGATAATTAAAACTGGGCTGGGACACTTTGAGCTTTACCACCAGGTTAAAATGATGAAAGCCCATTCAAGAAAAAGGAAGGACATGAGGGCGCAGCTTTCAGTAGTTTAAAAACAGGGTAAATGTTCTCGATCAATGTCCTGTAAAAATATGGATCCACAGACAGTCTGAGGACGCTGTTGACTGGAGGACATGAAGTGTGTGTGTGTGTGGGTGTCTTTAGTTTGCATCGCATCAGTGGGCAGTGAGGTGGATAATCCTCTAGACTGCTGAAAATGACTCTATTGATCTGTGCTTCTCAGTCACAAGCCTCTAAGTACTGCAGTATTATACAGCTGAGCTGTCCGCCTGTGTTTACATGGAGTTTAGGCTTAACTAGGACTATCCGATGGGGACAGTTTGTACATCATTTTGTCTGTGTGTGCAGAGCCAAATGTCTCTTAGAAACATAAGGAAACCAGTCTAACTGAAACATTTTACTGGTTCTAACCTAATTGTGGGTCTAGTAGTTTTAGGCATTGAGTTTATGGTTAAATGTAACATTAGAAAGAGGTTTAGCGTCAAGAATGGTAGCTTTCTATGTAGTCATGAGAAGGTCTTTATAACACAGTGCTACACCTTGGGTCTCTAACTTAAAAAAGCTCTATGACACAATAAAACAAGACAGAATTCATCTCTCTTTTGTACACACACAGAGTCAACGTGTTGGTTTCTACAGGGATTATTATATAGACCAAACCCTGATTAAGCAAGGCTATATATATTATTCACATGTTGAGACTGAGATTGATAATATTTCCTTAAATTAATTTATTTATGAATGAAACACTGACACTAATCCTTTTGACAGAAACTGATTTTAATCTTTACAGCACAGCCTTATAAATAATTCCCCCTCTCAAATTCACACATAAAATGTACAGTCTTACAAAAGGTTAAAACAATATAGTACTTTAGGCATTTCATGTAGCTTTTTTGTGCTGTACAGGAAGGAAAAAGCTTCTCTCTGTCTACATACATACAAGCCTTGTCACTATAACCAACTTAAACAATGTATAAAATCAACCACAGTAAAATAACGGGAAGTTTTCATTGGCTTTCCATAAAAAAACAATAAAAAACACTGAAATCATCCACAAATCCCTGTCAATTCATCGGCCCTGTGCTCCATGCACATCTAGAAAGGGGGGCCCAAGATAACGCTTCAGTGTGACAGTAGATGACTGTCATACCTCAATAAAATGGTCATCTGGCGCCATCTAGTGGTAATGATTCATTGGCCCATTGTCAGCAGGTGTGCGCTTAACTTTTTTGGACTAAACTAACATGGATGAGGAGTCATAAATCTGTTATAGATGAAATCATGACAGCTCAGAGCTTGCATGTTCCCATCTCTATGACAACTGAGCAAACTCCGTCTGCAGATGCAGACCTTATGATATGGCTGAAAGTTAAACTAGATGATTTGGGTTTAAATTGCAGTGTAAGCCAACTACCACCCTGCTGGAGTGTCCTTGAGCAAGATAACTGATCTCTTACCTTGTTGTTTGCGAGACCAACAGAGGATTATATTATTATTAAATTGCATTAATGATCTGTATTTAAAGAGCTCGATTGACTAACAGGAGCCCTCTTACTCCCCCTGCTGACAGAGATCTTGGTTGCATCCATTCACTTCATTCCTCCTTCCTGACCTACCGTGGTCCTGTTGGTTTGGTCATTTTCCCTGACAGGGATACATGGAGTCTAGGTGTTTGGTGTCTGTGCACCCAGTGAAAAGCTGGGATCTTTGTTTAGTTTTGATCTCCAGGAAAGAAACATTTGATTCTGTTTTTCTGTTGCCCATTATAGCCCTACACAACAGGAAACAGGAGCTGTGAATCTGTGCAGGATCATCACAGTTTGCACAATCTGTTAAGAAACTTTCTCAACAAAGTGATGAAAGATAGAAGGAATAAAAACAATCCGCTTTAACAAAAGGGAAGTCTACACTGCTGACTGTAAATTCCCCAACAGTGCATTAAAGCAGACTCATCAAAATCCAGGAACATCAACAAATGAGTTAATAACACTACTGCAAAGTAATGACAACAGAGCCCAGCAGTATCTTTGTTTTGCTGTGTGTATTCTCTCTGCAGTGGTTGCAAATATGAAGCTGCAACTGCTGCAACAGTCAGCACATTTCTGCAAAAAGTGGAAAAGTACTCTATTGAACAAATATTAGAATAAGTTGTTCATCAATTGAATGCAGATAACATGCAAGTAAAAGCAATTTAAACAGATTGTTAAAATATAAAATATTCCCACAACGTTTGGAAGAATTAATTAAAGCCATAGTCTATGACTAGTGAAGCAGTATCTTCAGCTTTTGTTATACTGTATATATGTAGAACAAACACCATATAAATTGTTGAATGTAGTATTACTATATGTCTTTATGCCAGATTATAAGCCGTGATAGAAGCAGTATTCAGATATTGTACATTCAGCAATACTACAACGTACAATTTACTATGTATAAAAAAATGTCATTCTGCATTCCCAATCTTAAAAGTACACAAGTGTTAACAGCAAAATGAATTTAAAGTATCAAAAGTACTAACACCCTTGTCAGAGTTAAATTTGTATATATTATAATT